AGGTGGGCAGGGAATGGGAAACAGGTGCAGAGAATGAAGTCTTTAGTGAAAGGGCTGGAGCACCCTTAAGGAGGGGGGACTATAGTCGTGACAACCATTCTGTGGATTAAATCTTATTCTGCACATTGTCTGTGATTGTAATGTCATTAGCCTGTGGTGATTTCACAGCACTAGTGAACTTTGCTTTGTTCCTTGCAATGGTTGTAATTTACATTCCTGTTCTGTTTGTCCTGTGGTCCTACTACGGAACTGTATGGTCAACGATAAAGAAAGAAATTTTGGAGAGCCGTAGGAAGGCCTTCTTAATGTGCTCTTCTCACATGACAGCGGTCTTTCTGTGCTATGCATTTGCATAGTATCCCTCCTGATGGATGAATCTTTAATGGTGAAGTGTATTATTTCCTCACTTCTTTGGTCAACCCCATCATTTACAGCTCAAGGAATGAAAAAAAATCAAAGCAGTAGCTCACAAATATTTGAGGCTACAGGCTCCTTTCAAGCTTGATGCAAAGAATATTGTCAACACATGACTATATGCCCCATAAATTATTTTTTATTACAATGTATAAATCAAAAGAAGAATCAAACACAACATTTGCATGAAAAGAATTTGATAAAATTTCACAGCAGTAATTAATAATAAACATACTGTGGAAGTGAGGTCCAAGTGCAAGAAAAATACATCACTTTATTATTATTGTAGAATTGATATCTCCAGACAGTGGTTCTGTAACTAAATACCTTTGGTTAATTTTCTCTGTGTTTCAAACTTATATTTTATCATGTATGTTTTAATGAATTGTAATTAAAAAAAATGTTTTTTTTTTTGCAGAACCTGAAGGATCTAAAGCAGGATCTAAAATGTATAAAACCACAAATTAGAAGAGATCCCAAATCAGCAACATCAGGAACTTAATTACTGAAATGGAATAACAAAGGACAGCAAAATGTCAAATCTGCATGGTGGTTTAGGAACAACGTGGATCATTATGATCCGATGAGATCATCGTTCTCTGTTTAAATACATAATAATTGTGGTAATTTATTCATATAATCAAACTGTTATGTTTCCAATACAACATTTTCTGATGCCACAGTCATCCCTTATTGTTTAATACACTAACAACACGGTACAGCCTTCTATCAGTATGTGACAGAGGTACAGATAGCATGGGAAATACATATTCATACACCTTCTGTTGAGCAGTTGCTAGATAAGTTCCTGAGGGTGCACACTCAGGGCTTCACTAGAAACTGCTATTACTTAATTTCATATACATTCACATACTTAAACACAGATATGAGTGAGTACTGTGGTGTGAATAGAGAGCACTCTCAAAATGGATGATACTCACTGTTTGTTTGGTGTCGGTACTTCCAGGGTGAGTCAGCCTATGGTGGCCTCAGAAGGCCATACCTAACCGTACTTCTCAAGGCTTATTTAAGGAGATGGGAAAAAACATGCATTGAATTGGAGAAATGGATTGTTCCAGAGGGGGAGGGGGATACAAGCTAATTAAGCTGGCTCCTTAGCCTAAGAGGGGGTTGGTTGTGGTTGGTGGTTGGTAGTTGGTGGTTGTTATGTCAGGTAGTGTGACTGAAAACAGAGAGAATGCAATAAGGAGGATTTGTTTTCATTTAAAGAATTAGATTTGTTTCCTTTTGGGGTTTTGTTTTCTGGTGTGGGGGACTGGGAGCACTGTAAATAAACTGCACCTATTTTACTTGTTTTTGCGGTGGAGCCATTCTGGTATAAAACGGACCTACTTTGGCCTTCCTCAGGCCATTGTGTGACAAGTACAATGGGCATTAGTGGAAAAAAGATATTGAATATCGGACCTGAATCCTTTTGGAGGAGCAGCATTCCCCTGAGATGCTGTTTAAAGTTAGTGATTTCATCTCAATGGGGAAGTTACTACACTTCAGATAAATGGGGGCTCTCCTAAAAGTACATGGTCAAGAAATGAAATAATAATAATAATTATGCCCAATAATAAAATAATACAAGTACGCAGGTGTTAGGGATGAGTATTGATACTCTGTTTCCATCAGTGACAAGACATGTACGCTACATGAGCTCATTTTGTACGTTTTTGAAAGGTAGTAGAATGTCCTACATCACAATGCTTGTATTCTGAGTAAGCATCACTGAATGTGGGGAGTTTCATTATTGTAGATGTAGGGATGTCTGCTTTAGTGAAACAAAAGTTTTCAAAGGGTGTGATTAGAACATTGATTTTAAAACTTAAAATGTGAAACATTTTAAAAACAGTCTTGTGAGTATATACATATATGTTAATGAATTTGTATGCTATTAATGAATTTGTAAGCTATTATTACAAATTTATGTGTAATTGGTTATGTTTTGCCAACCATGCCTGGTGCTATAGCATTCTTTAACCGCTTGTTCTCTTCTCCTATACATTCCTCTCACCAAACATTTCACGGCCATGTGGAACAATCAGGGGTCTCCTGTTGGGTTCAGTCAATTACCTGCTTCAAGAACTCAGCTGTCCCTCAGATTGTCCTTTTCCAACTCAACCCAATGACAAGTATCCTTCCCCACTCCATTTACAGTCAGTCACGTAGGTGTTTTTTACCCTTCAAAATGCCATTTTCAGAATCAGATATTTGTCTTATCTACTTAACTAGGAACTGTCAGCTGTGACTTTTTACTTCTCCACTTTCATTTACAAACTCTAAAACACAGGGAAGGATGTAGAAGTGCAGGCAGATTTCACCAGTCTGTCCACCTTTTAGATTTTATATCATTAAACACAATATAAAGGCCACAACTCCATACAGGAGATTTAGAGAAAAGGTGTGCTCTTCACTATCAACCCCACATACTGTACCTGCAAGTGTTCAAAGGTCTCAGGACTGACTGTGTCACTGTCTTAAACAGGCACTGCGGCACAGCAGTGTGTGTGGTTCACTGGCTAAAGACGATCAATAAATGCCATTAGATGTTAGTGAAATGATTGCTTCATTTACTGTCTCTCTACAGTGCATTCATACGGAATATTAATAAGTAAATTGTGTAACTAAAGGGAAATTTTGGTAATTGAAAATAAAAGTGTAACATCAGAATGCCATAAATTATATTATTTCACAAATATAAATATATCTAATGCACATACAGTAGCTGAGAGAAGTATTTAACAATTTGCCATGTTTGCATTATTAGAAAACAGTTTTTTT